CCCTGTCTGCTCTCTAATCTATCTTTATGTAAATACTTTGTGGTTTCGATTATATTTCTTTTCGATAGGATTATTATTGGATATTTTGGTGCCCAGGAAAGGTACCCTTGACATTTGTTCATTCAGCAACTTGCTACATTTTGTTTGCTTGTTTGCTTACCCCATGAATTTCTTCTACTTTCCCGACAATATATGCAATGATATTGATGATGCAGTTGCTAATTTCTGGAGGGGGCAAAAGAGGGGAGAGCGGAAAATCCATTGGGTTAGTCGGCAGTCATTGGGTTTGCCCAAACAGGAAGGGGGGCATGGGATTTCGGAACCTAAAGGAGTTCAATTTTTCATTATTGGCAAAACAATGCTGGCGTCTACTACAGGATCCCGAGTCACTGTGGGCCCAAGTTATCAAGGAAAGATACTTCCCCAATTGTTCTTTCTTTGAGGGTTGTAAGGGGGGTTGGTCCTCTTGGGCCTGGGCTAGTCTTCTTGCAGGTAGAGAAATCATTGCTAAGGGCATGCATTGACAAATTATGGGTGGTGATCAAGTTAGAGTTTGGGTGGATCAATGGATCCCGGCCTCGGGAGTTGCGATGGACCTAACAAGGCGGGTATCCTCCCTAATCGACCCCCACTATCGGACTTGGCAGATGGAGTCAATTGAGAGGCAGGTGGCAGATGTTGTAATGATCCAAAATATCTAATTCAGAAGCTAATTACAAAGATAGGCCCCAAATTCATTTTCTTAGCAAATTTCACTAAAAGATTAATCTCATGTATTTTATTATGGCTGCATCTAACCTTCTCGTTAGATTGCCTACATACCCTACTAAGGGATCAAGTCATTCGTAGTTCACATTACACTTCTAGAATAACATACTAAAATTTCATTTCGATTCAACAGTCGGATCTCCGCCAATCACAACATTCGAGTGGCAGTCGAGGTTTTAATTTACTAATTTGCAAATCCAATTCAGGAAGATCCATAAGTCGGATTCCCGATTCATAAGTTCCTAAGGTCCTCAAATACTATGTACTATAATGTCTCAAAGTTTGGTTATGATCCAACGATTGAATGGTCATCAATTATGAAAAATCGTATGGCAGTACAATTATCTGAAAATTTTGAATATTTGAATTATCATATCAAATTTCAACGAACGGAGTTTGGATATGGGCTCAAGACATCAAGAATGTCCCGCTGTCCAAAATCCATGAAAACAGATTCTCCACCACGCGTCGCCGCGCGTGGTGGTTTCTAGTGATCGGAAACCCACTTTTTCGTCTAACTCCAAATTCTACAAATTTAAGGGAAGATAGAGCTCAACAAGAGGAACAAGTTTTATACCTTCCACGAAATCCAAAAGTGGACGGATTCCGCTGATAAAGCCGGCAGGTGCCTAAAGCTTCCCAGTGTCGATTCGTCGCCTACGGTGGTCCACTGGGATCAAAGCTGGTCGGGATTTACTCCTGGGATGATGGGCTACAAAACCCAACTAGTGGCATCGGGCATCGCTTTGCTTGTTCACTGGAAAAATGAAAAGGGTGGCCAGAACGCCATTGGTTTTCATCGGTTTTTATGGCCTCACACCGCCACATACGGTGGTTAATCAAAGTGTTCTTAGTGAGCTTCAAGATGATGGTGGTGGCGTCGAAAAATTTCGCTAGAGTTGACCAGAATCAATCTCGAAAAATGGGAGGTCGCAGGAGGTCAAAAAGGGGTTTTATTATAAAATACATCCTCGTATAATTACGTTAAGTCAACGAGGGACATTTTCATCATTTCACTTTCCGATAAAAAAAAATTTCCACATAATCATATATTTTAAAATTTTCAGGTGTATTACAGATGTTGATAGATAGGTGGTTCTGGATACTTCAATAGGCGTGCTTGAGCGAATAGATCGATTGATTTGGCCGCATGATCGGAGGGGCCGATATACGGTAAAATTTGGGTATCATTGGACTCACGATATTAGCTGTTGGATGTGGGACCTCCAGCCTTCTTCCCTAGCAGCTGTTGATTCGGGGGTCTGGAAAAGGCTATGGACCATGATTACTCGTCCAAAAATTAAGAACTTTATGTGGATAGCTGGCTATCGTTACAAAGATTAATCTATTCCGAAGTAGGTGTGTTTCTTCCTCAATATGCCCCATCTGTTCTAAGCAGGATGAGTCTATTGAACATGTCTTACTCCTATTCCCTTGGGTGGATAGAGTCTAGTTTGGTGGTGCTTTGAGCTTGCGAATTGATAAGGCTTTGGTCTTTACTATTCACGCCTGGCCACATGGCACAGTCATCCGGGGCAGAAAGGGGATAGCAGAAAAACATTGTCATACATCGCGTTTACTTGTTGGTTTATCGAGAAGGCATGATGTGATCCGGTATTGAATTCCTGGCAAAGATCTCTATTGAAAACCCTACTTGATATCTCCATGGCTGCCTCATCTTTCATGGAGGCATTCTTGGGACTAGGGATTGTGCAGAGTACGGCGACCCTTGGGCATCGTGCTTCTCCATGTTGGATTTCGCCGGCGCACGGGGTGGTTATGGTAAACGTGGATGCTAGTTGGAAGAGACTAAATGGCGGCTGCCATAATGGTGTCGTGATTCGAGACTCCGCCTCTCGATGTTTAGCTGTGCATAGAAGAGAAATCATGGCCCCTAATGTGTTGGCGGCTGAGGCGAGGTGTATTTTGGAGGGTTGCATGATGGCCAAGCAGGGGGCTTCGTGAATATTGTGGTGGAGTCGGACTCAAAAGAGCTTATTTCTTGGTTGAATGGAAGTATTGACCAAGGGAACTGGGAGGTCTTCCCGACCCTCTGGGAGATTCGTAGAGAAGGTTTGGATTTCAGTTTGTGTGAATGGTCTTGGGTACCAAGAGTAGCGCAGATTTTGTGGTGTCGCATGCGGGGGAGCGGAGATGTGCGACTTAGTCTAGGTTCAACAATTCCCATCTTTGTTTATTTGGAATCTGAACAAGGATGGTCTACCCTGCCCTCCAACTTAGCTTTTGTTAGATAGTTTTTCCCTTAGTCCCGTTTATTTCTGATGTTGTTTGCCCGAGGTGGCTTTCTGTACTCCTATTTGGCTTTGGCCCTAGTGAATGATATATTCCGGTTATTCAAAAAAAAAAAAAAAATGAAACCACTATGCAAATTGATTGTCCAATTTGAATTTGACTAAATTATATTTCATCCAATTTCAAAATCGTACAATGTCTTTCTATTTCGTACAACATCCGATTCAATCATTACACGGTGGTCCAGTAGTTTAGGACGAATTCTAAGCTCATATTCTATAAAGCTTGTTCTGAATTTGATTCATAACACTGGTGAATCATACACTATAATTTTGGAGCTAGAAAACAAATGCAAAGTATTATAGAGTGGGAGAGAACTTGTGTGTTTACAGTCCCACGTCCAGAAAGAGATCGATGTCTTTTTGGTTAATTTTTTAGCAAATAGACATGTCATTGAGACTATTGTTTAAAGGCATACAATTCTTCCTCCCCATTTTTTTAATGCAATCTTGTTAATGGTCATAGAATGAGTTTAATACTCACACGACTATGCTTAGAAGTGCTTTTAGAAGAAGCATATAGAAATTTTATTAAAATGCAAGTGTTTCTTGAAAAAATCTCAAAAATTGCATAGCATGTTATTCTTCCACAAAACAGTTCAAGTACTTTTTAAACCAAACATATTTTAAACTATTTTTTATTAACATTGTCATGTTTGCAAGCGCTTTAGTTATTTGAAAAGCATTTCAAATTGGAAACAGGCCCTACAACAAGCTAGACATATGAAGTTTTGAGAATACTTGATAAGCAAGTTGTCCAAACCATATTTATGTAATCTTTGAAGGGTTCAGCTGATGTTTGCTTAAAGCGTTTTTCTCTCTCATATATCTAAGTTCACCTCACAACTTAAATTAATTATTTTTTAATTTTTAATTGCATGAAAAGAAAAAAGGGGACATATTACATAAAACGTAATAAGATTCCTATCTTTTCCAAGAACAAAAATAAAAAAATAAAAAAAAATAAAATAACCTTGTATCATTGATCATTAATAGAGACATGCCGTCCAGTAATCCAGAAAATTAATTTTATGATTGGCTTTGTAAGGAAAACGAGGATGTGCAATGCTTCTTGAGGAGTTTTGTTGTTTCTCAATAAAATCTATTTATTTGAATTTCCTGCTTCTAGTACTACCTATTGCTTGAAGTTTGAACAGATTACAGAAGCATTTTTTTTATTGTTCTAATCATACATGTCGTTCATTTCCAATGAACTGGCAATCTTGGTGTGTTGTTTGATGGATGTTGGAGTCTTCTCTTCATCCAGTTTTGGGGTTGTCTTCGGCCGCTCTCAGGCATCTATTGGGCGACGGTTTGAGATGGTTGGTTGGTGGCGCTTTGGCAGTGGTGGGGTAGCAAGTTGCTAGGATTTGTAGCGGTTTTTTTCTTTTGTGGTGAGCTCAAACCTTTGTTTTGGGCCATTTTTGCATTACTTTGAAGGTCCACATCTACGTTGTGTGCTTAATATAATTGGACCTCTTTCTTTGTAATTTTGTTGTCTTGGTAAAAATTTTACCCTAAAAAAAAAATCCAGGCTTGAAAGCACTTCCAATATAGCGAAACTAAATGTCAATAGACCAAATGTTTGGCAATCTTTTATTTTCTTATTTAATTAAAACATTAATGATGCCACCAATTTTCACATACAATAAAAGCACACCACTTTGGAAAGATACGAGATTTTTTTTTTTAGAACTGTTTCCAAGTTATGCTCCTTGGAAGAGCAAGCCATTGACGGTCACCCCGCCATCGACAATAATAGTTTGTCCAGTAATGTAAGAGGCTGCAGGTAGGCATAGAAATGCTACCAAGGAAGATACCTCCTTTGGCTCTCCAGGACGTCCTAAAGGGCACCGAGAGTTTATCATCTCCAATTTCTTTTCATCTCGGAGAAACTGCATGCATAGAAGAGATAATGGATGAAAAGAGAATGGATGTGTAGGACACATATATTACCGATGATCTTAATAATTGGTCAAGCTCTTCGTAAACAAATTAATTAAGACTAGAAGTATGATCTAAACTTGCTGTAAACTTTTCAACAAAAAACTTGCTGTAAACAAGTCAGGTCTAAAATTGAACCTATACATGAATAAACAAAAGACATATGAACTTTTGGCAAACCCCAACTTTTTAATCTAATTTTTACTATCTACTTTTGGCAGACTCATCAATGAAATATTGATTGGCTTGAAGTTATGAAATGATTGTAATACAAGTCGTTAAAAGAATTCACTAATGTATCTTAAATTCAATTTCGATTTTCCTGCCACAACATCGATTGTATTAGAAAAAATGAAAATAAACAACATGCACCAGAACGTGATCAGGATAATCTTACAGGTTCAACGAGGGGAGTCCTGATGAACCAAGGTGCCACACTATTGGTCCTTATGTTATCTTTCGCCCACTCACATGCCAAGTTTTTTGCTAACTGATTCATTGCACCTGAGATACAATAAGGAAAAGCCGCACTTTGGTCAAACATCAAAAATTACACACCAAACAACATAAGGAAATTAACCAAGCACCTTTAGTGGCAGAATATATAGAACCGACACTTGCTGAGACCACACCAGCAACAGAGGACACAAAAACGATGTTAGCGACTCCTGAAGCTTTGAGAAGAGGGTGCGTAAGTTGGCACAAGTTGTAAGCAGATTCAAGATTGGTACTCATCATGAATGAGTAATCTTCAGCTGTGTACTCTAGCGTTGCCTTCGGTACGGCAGTCCCCACATTGTTTATCTATAACAAGACATTATTGGAAAGGTTTAGCATAACGTAATGGTTTTAGCTTATATGTATTATTAAAAAAATGCATGAAACGTGTACATCTTTGAGTTTTAACACAATTTTACAAATTATTGAAACGTCTACAACAAAAAGAAATATTTACGAGGATGTTAAGTTTTCCATGAAAGAGTGATGATGATTAATGATTCATGCATATGTGTTATTTCAATTGATCAGTCATTTACTTACAAAAATGTTAAGTTTGCCATCAAAGAGTGATGAAACCTTGTTTATAAGCTCTTCTCTTTGGGTTTTAGACACCACATCACAGACTGAGCCAGTAACTTGGAAACCCTTCTTCTTCCACTGACTCTGGCAGTCATTAAGGTCAACTTCATTTCGGGAACAAGTATGCACAATTGCACCCAGCCCTGCCAATTCCTCCACTATCGCATACCTAAATAAATACTTAGCTAATTTAACAAACAGCAGTAAAAAAATAATTCAAACCCATAATTATAAAACAGAAGTAAACATGGGACAAGTGGAGAAATAAAGCGAATATTGCATTGCATGTATAGGAAAATTGAAACTAAAAGAAGATTAATGTTCGTAAGTATCCAAATTGAGAGAAGCTAACCCAATTCCTTTGGTTCCACCAGTGACAAGAGCTGTCATTCCACGAAGAGACCATCTCCCTTCTCTGCTATTCATTTCTAATCTCCGTCTGCTCTCTAATCTATATATATACAAACTAGCCTTCTGCACGCTCGTACTAATCCCCGTCTGCTCTCTAATCTATATATATATATACAAACTAGCCTTCTGCACGCTAGGACATTTCCATCTGCTGTCTAATCTCTGTCTGCTCTCTAATCTATATACATACAAATTAGCCTTCTGCACGCTATCTATATACATACAAACTAGCCTTCTGCACGCTAGGACATTTCTATCTGCTGTCTAATCTCTGTCTGCTCTCTAATCTATATATATACAAACTAGCCTTTTGCACGCTCGTACATTTCTATCTGCTGTCTAATCTCCTGTCTGCTCTCTAATCTATATATATACGCACCTCTTAAGATATTTTAAGCCCAACATTCATAATTTTTCTTATTTATTATATTTTTTTTCTCTCATTACGTGAACACCATTAACTTTATCATTTGTTTATTCTTTTCTCTCTTCCCTTTTATTTTTTTCTTCTTTTCTCTCTTCCCACTTATATTTGTATTATATGTTATGATGGCATTGGATTTTTTTGGCTAAGGGACATTTTGATCCTATTTGTTTTTTTGTTGAAGCCCCGTGACCCCAAAATTTTGCCAGTATGCGTAACCCCAAGTTGGGGCTCTCGCTTTCTATATAAAAGACAGACAGATAGAAACTTGCTGGTTTCGAATTTCGATTGTATTTCTCGTCGACAATTATTAGTTGATATTTTGGTGGCCAGGGAAAAGTAGGATTTCCTGCTGTCCGCTAATAATTTATCCTCAGCAACTTGCAACTTTTTGTTTGCTTGTTTGATGTGGCAAACTATGCAAATTGATTGTTCTACAATTTGAATTTGTCTAAATTATATTTCATCTAATTTCAACATCGTACAATGTCTTTCAATTTCATACAACTTCCGATTCAATCGTCACGGGGTAGTCCGGCATATGAAGATGAATTCTAAAACTGTATTCCACATAATACGTTCTAAATTCGATTCACCAACGATGATGAATAATACAATGGTGATCAAGAAGATGTCACTGCTCTCCTTTGAAAAGATTAAATAAAATACTTCTAATTTTATACTAATACCATACAACCGTTAATCAATTTGTCAAATAAGCTGTTAAGTGATAATGTAAAGTGCAGAGCTCACATTCTATCAACTTTGAGTCCAAATTTGTGCCTCATGATTAAAAAAAATTAATTATTATTAATGTAAAAATTAGAAATCATTTGCAATATCATTAAATATTTTATTTAAAAAAAAAATTTGAAGCGCAGATCTCATCTTCCTCTCCACCCAATGCAGGTGACGATCCCCCTCCCTGCAACATCGTCTCGACGATGTACTCCGGGACCATCCCCCTGAGCTCCTCCTCAACGATCGTGGACCACGGCCTCACCTCTCCCTTTCTCGCATACGACACAGACGACCACCACCACACACTGCAAGGCTCCACCAAAATCAAACAACCACAATCATCAAACCACCACCACCGTCAGATTCCCATGTGACCACCTGAATTTTCAAAAAAATACTTGAATGATAATTATATGTTAAGCAGCGCGATTAATTTCATCTACTTTGTATTATTACCCGTTTAATCTTTTAAAAATATATTAATTTCTTATACTCTAAATGGTCAATTTACTTGTTAAAAGATTATGTCTTTACTGAGCTGTTCTAGCCCACTCCTCTTTTGCTTTCCAGGTTTACAATAGACAATTAAGAGGGTAGATGGAATGAGATTGAATTAGATGTGAGGCTAGAAGTTCAATTAAGGGGAGGAATTAAGTTTCCATTCCTCCTTTTTCAACTTCATTTATTGAAACCTTGTTCCTTTTCAATTTTTAATCAAGGTCTCTTGGTTTTAATAAACATCATTAATTATTTCAATAATAAAATATTTTACATATCAAGATAATTAAATTTTATTTATAAATTATTTATTTAGGGTTAAAAACGTTACATTTGATATATTTATAATTATGGCTAAATTTTGTATCATATATTTTTATTTTTAGTTGGTACCCATTTTAATTTGCAACCTTTTTTTTTAAATTGTGCCAATTTTCTATTCAGTTTTAGTTTGTACCCATATATTAATTTCTTTTTTTGTCTATATTTTTCAAACTTTTATTTGTACTCATATTTTTTTGACCTTTTATTTGTACCCATAATTTATTAATAATGTACCCATTTGTCCTTAAAAATGTACCACTTTGTTATGCGTAAATTGTCACATCCCAGTTCCGACTCCGCCATAGCACGATATTGACTGCTTTGGGCCCTAGCCACGCTCTCACGGTTTTGTTTCTGGGAACTCACGTGAGAACTTCCCAATGGATCACCCATCCTGGGATTGCTCTCGCCCGAACTTGCTTAACTTCGAAGTTTCGATGAACTTCGAAGCCAGTGAGCTCCCAAAATGTCTCGTGCTATATAGAGGTGGGCATGTACATATAAGACACATCACCCTCTCTCCATTTGTCGATGTGAGATGTTACAATTCACCCCATTAGGGGCCCAACGTCCTCGTCGGCACACTCGCACCACACATCAGAGTGGCATTGATACCATTTTGTCACATCCCAGTCTCAGCTCCGCCGTAGCACGATATTGTCCACTTTGGGCCCCGACCACGCCCTCATGGTTTTGTTTCTGAAAACTCACATGAGAACTTCTCAGTGGGTCACCCATTATGGGATTGCTCTCGCCCGAACTCACTTAACTTCGGAGTTCTGATGAACTCTGAAGCCAGTGAGCTCCCAAAAGGCCTCGTGCTATATGGAGGTGGGCATATACATATAAAGCACGTCACCCCCTCTCCGTTTGTCGACGTGGGATGTTACATAAATTGTACCCATTTTTTTCTCGTAAGTACCATCTCTTTTTTGTGTAAAATGTACCCATTGTTTATATATATATGAAATGTACCCATTATATAAAACGTATCACCTTTATTTTGTATAAAATGTACCAACTTTTTGTATGTAAAATGTATTGTATAAAAATTACCAATTTTTTGTATGTAAAATGTCATTAATACAAGTAATGACAAATCATGGGTTTTATTTAAGTATATTTTTTCAATATTTTCAACAAATTATAGATTTTATTTAAAGTCTCATTAATATATATAACTACAAATATCAAATTTTAAACTAAAAATTATAAATTTATAGTAACCTACATAGAAATGCATTATTGCATTAATTTCAGGGACTTCAATAAAAAACCAAAAACCAACAAGGTTTCAATAAAAAAATGTTAATAAATAGGGACCACATCCAATCCAAGTTATTGTAAGTAATTCTTGAGTTGAGGAATTAATTTCTCACCCTATTTCAGTTTTAGTTTTATTTATTTAATTTTTAGTCAGATGTGGGGTTGATTTTTCTACTGACTCTAGGTCTTGAACGTGACATAATGGTATTAAAGCTTAATTATTGGACACCCTTTGGACAAAGTTGTGATACCAACTAGATAGTTGATTGAACTAAACAGAACTAGAGCATTCATCCACGGACGTTTGCGTTTATGTGGATGTTGATACTTACCTTGTGTTCTCAGTTTTCTCAAATCTTTTGTTTTGGACTTGAATTCGTTTAAGCGAGAGGCTAGTAAAAAAATAATTGAAACCCATAATTCATCCACGGACGTTTGCAACTTTTTGTTTCCTTGTTATGATGTTGCAAACTACGCAAATTGATTGTCCTTGAATTTGAAATTGGGTAACCTTAAAAATTCGTCCAATTTCAATATCATGCGTCTCTCAATTTTATATACCAGTCTGTCAAATTGGTCATTAAGTGATAAAATGTAAAGTGCAGAACTTATATTTTGCTCACTAGGAGTCCAAATTTATGCCATTGGTTAGAACAAATTAAAAGAAAGTAATTTAATTATTAATAATGTATAAATTAGAAATCATTTGCAATATCATATTTTATTTAAAATTAATAACAAAAACAAAAAAAAAAACGAAGAGTTTTTATCATAAATGGTGCTTGAAATTGACCCCCTTAATTATGATGGTTTCTGAAATTGAAAATCAATCAATATAATCACTGAATATTAGTCCCGCAAATTAATGTCATCTTTCTGTCACTATTTCATCCAACTCCACACTAAAAAGGAACACATGACCACTTTTTCGTGCTAAAATGAAAAAAAAAAAAAAAAAAACTAACCAACTAAACCTTCCCTTTCCTCCCTTACCACATTTTCACGTGCCCCCACCTAATCCCACTTTTCCTCCCTCTTCTTCGAATGCTAGTCTGCTTTAAGACAGGTTTGAAGTCGAAGGGAAAACATTGAAGTGGAAGGTACAAGGGGGTCCAAGAATTCATAAGATTATTGACAAGCTAAAAGAGTATAGTGGGGTATTGCATTGCGACTCTTGTTGGGAATATGAAGTACCGAGTTAGAACAATGAGTGGAAGGGAGTTCGCTGTGGACTTAGCTGCAAATAGATGCTTTTGCAAAAAAAAGTAAAAATAAGAAAGGGGTATGTGTGGAATCCCATGTGCACATGCAATGACTTGTATTCTCAGAAAGCAACAAGACCAAAAAAGGTATTTGAATGATTGCTACAAGCAAGCAACATATATATCCAAGGGTCCTGTCAGAAACCCAATGCCTACTCCTATCAGCTGCAGGATCATGTGATCCAACCCACTCCAGTTGATCCTCCAATGTACAAGAAGCAAATTGGAAGACCCAAGAAAAAAAGGGTTAAGGAGCCTGGTAAAGTCCTCCCTCCAGTGGCAAGTAATGAAAGGACAAAGCTTAGTGGATGAGTAAACACCCCCATTTACTTGCACCAGATGTGGACAAAAGGGCCTAGTCAACCAAAAGCGATGAAGGTATGATCACATTTTACATTGGTTTACATCCTTAATAATTTGTTCGCATATGGAAGTTTTTGTAAGCAATCAGGTTATAACAAGTTTTCTGATATGTTGTTAATGTGTAGCCGAAAAGGAAAGAGCAAGCAACAAGTACTTCACAATCCACTAGTCAACCAAAGCAGAAAAAAGTTCGTTTATTATCTGTTTTATTGTGCAAGTAACAATAGTTGCAAACTTCACTATGGGAACTACTGATGTCACCTATTTTTCACATACAATTTGGAATTAGATAAGAGATTTTTTTTTTTTTTTTCATGATCTCAAGTACTGTCTCTTCTACTACATTTGCATACATATAGAGCTATTTCCAAGTCATGCTCCTTGGAAGAGCAAGCCATTGACGGTCACCCTGCCGTCGACGATAATAGTTTGCCCAGTAATGTAAGAGGCTGCAGGTAGGCATAGAAATGCTACCAAGGAAGACACCTCCACTGGCTTTCTAGGACGTCCTAAAGGGCCCCAAGAGTTTATCATCTCCAATTTCTTTTCATTTCCGAGAAACTACATGTATAAAAGAGAGAATAGAAGAACAGAGAATTGATGTGTAGGACACATATATTAGCAACGATCTTATAATTGGTCAAGCTCTTCATAAACAAATTAAATAAGGCTAGAAGTATGATCTAAACTTGCTGTAAACCTTTTCACCATAAAACTTGTTGTACACAATTCAGGTCTAAATTTGAACCTCTACATGTCACTTAGTACTCCGGTCTAGTGATATTCTTTTTCATTGGTAAGTGAGAAGTTTTAGGTTCAATTCTCGCCAAAAGCGAATTTGAACCACATTATTGCTAGCCCATTATGAGACTTCACTTACTCCTCAACCCCTTAGTGTAAATAGTATCATTTGTTTAAAAAATTGAACCTATATATACATGAATAAACAAAAGACATGAAATTTTGGCAAAACCCAACATTTTATTCTAATTTTGACTATGGACTTTTGGCAGACCCCATCAATAAAATACTAATTGGCTTGAAGTTATGAGATGCAACTTGCAAGGGACCTGTAATATAAGTGTGTTAAAAAATTTCATTCATGTATCTTAAATCCGGTTTGCATTTTCCTGCCCAACATCGATTGTATTAAAAAAAATGAAAATAAAAGGCATGCAGAAGAACATGATCAGGATAATTTTACCAGATCAACAAGGGGAGTCGTGATGAACCAATGAGCAACGCTATTGGTCCTTATATTATCTTTCGCCCACTCACATGCCAAGTTTTTTGCTAATTGATTCGTGGCACCTGAGATAGAATACAGAAAAGCCATACTTTGGTCAAACATTAAAAATCACACGCCAAAAACAATGTATCAAACTTTAGGCCTCGTTTGGCAGCTCGGATTGTACTGACTATTTCTGTTGGATAGGATCAATAGTCACCGGATAATACTGACTAAATTAATCGAGCGTTTGGTGCAGTATCGGACTATAATCGCATTATTCATATTGTATCGAATATAAATATGTAATTATCTAAAAACCCAAATACTTTTCAAATCCTAAACTTCAAAATAAAAAGCAAATTAAAAAGCCCCAAATTAAGCAAAATCTAATTTCAAAAAAATAAAAAATTGCCCAGATGAATATTGTTCAACAGTCAGGCTGCAAACAACCAAATGAACAAAAATAAACAAATTAAATGTTGAACAAAAGTACATAAAAATACCAAAAAATTGCCCAAATGAAATATTGTTCAGCAGACATGATGGTAACTCGCTTGGCATGGATAGCGCATAGGTTGGTGTCCTCAAATAGACCCACAAGGTCTCAGCAGCCTCCTGTAGTGCCAACACTGCGTGGCTCTGGAAACGCAGATCAGTCTTGAAATCCTGGGCAATTTCACTAACAAGCCTCTGGAATGGCAACTTCCTCATCAAGAGCTCAGTACTCTTCTAGTACTTACGAATTTCACGAAGAGGGACAGTACCAGGAGCGTAGCATTGCGACAATACCAGAAGAGTAACGACCGGGAGAACGACGACGAGAGGGACGACGGCGAGAGTAGGTGTCATGGAGAACGAAGTGCGAAAGAGAGGAAAGGTTATACCCGACTAATAATCCACTCCTTTTGGAAGGGTTTATTAAGAAGGTGTATACCCGACTATCCTATCCAACTGATTAAATTAATCCGGTGACTATTTAATACGAGAAGACACCAAATGGTCAGGTCCGTACTATTAGTCTTATCTGATCCCTTATACAACATGCCAAACGAGGCCTTAGGGTCTTCTCGTCTCACCCTCTTAAGAGAGGAAAAAAAAAAAACCCTAGCCGTTTATCTTTCTCCTTTTACCAAACCTTAAATCTACAACCTCCGTAGTCGCCATCCTTTGCTCTGACTGGAGGCTGGTGACAATCTCTCTTCCCATTTTTCTACCCTCCCTCCCTTTATCTTCTCATAGATGGTTGCTTGTTTATTTTTCGTTTTACTATTTTAGTCAATAAGTGTCTCCTTGGTGAGGTTTTTTGTGAGTCTTTCTTCATGAGTATTTTAGTTTTGTATTGGTGTGTTATCAGCTCCTTATGTGTCTATTTTGTTGGAATTGGTTCGCGGATTGTGTTGCACACAAAATTTTTGTTGGTATGGATATTAGTTTGGTTCGTTGTCAGTTCTTCTTTGGAGTAGGAGCTGTTATTGTCAAAAAGTGTCCTCATGTTCATTATATTCGAGACTTTGTGCGCAGAAGTTCTCAAATGCTAACCGGCGAAGTGCTTGACCTTTTCACCAAGAATGGAGTTTCTTTTACTTTGAGTGTCATTTTAGTCCTCTGAGTTTGAAAGTGGATGAGTTCAAGACTTTGATGCGTTACTTTACTTATCCTCGTGCTTGTCTCGCCTAATTCATGGGTATGGTGATAATTAGTTAGCCAAGTTAGCCTTTTATGTTTGGTTAAAGTTTCTTTTGATTGAAAACTTTTTTAATGTTATCTTCAATGTCCTCTTTCAAATTTGTATCAATTCTTAATATTATAATAAAGCTGCTATCGTTTCATCTATAAAAGATAAAATTTAGGAGCTTCTAGATTTTAGGTTTGAAAAAGATTGTTCTTAGATTATAACCTCTAAATTCAATTCAAGTTTCAATTTTAAATTCAAACACCGTGTCATATTTAAGTATATTTACTAAATCTATTATGTAAAATCAGATTGTTAAAGAAACATATTCAGTATTCACAAACCTAACAAACTTATACTAGTAAAGTCAACATCAATACAAAAACAATTCATATTGATTATTCGTCCGTACGTACTTAAGTATCAATATCAGTACTTATATATAATCTATGTAAGACCATCTCCAATGGTTGGGCTAAAAGCTAAATTTTTTAGCCCAGAAAATTTAGCTTTTAGCCCAGAAACAGTTTTTCTGCTCCAACCGTTCTAGCCTAAAATTTTATTCCGGGATTATTAAAGAATGAACTTAGGCTATTTTTCTTGTTAAATTAAATTAAAAAAAAATATTTAGACTATAGTAAATTAATTTTATGAACATTTTAATCTAAAAAAATTTAAATTCAGATAAATATTGGGTGGAGTCCACTTTGATTTCTGGACTAAATTTTGAGGGGAATTTGGCATTGGTTTAGCATTTAGCATTTAGCCCAAAATTTCCCCTTGGGTTGGAGTGGTTTTGGGGGGCAATTTTGGTTGTTATTTGACTTTTAGCCCACCATTGGAGTTGATCTAACTGTGTAAGCATATATAGGTACGTAAATATCATTAATTATATGAGTATAATACTTAGCAGCTACAAATAACATTTTAATTGTTGATAGGTTTTATAGTTGTTTATAAAACCAACACAAAAAAAGGAAATGTCAATAATCAATAGTCTAATTAGTATTCCAAAACTTAGGATTAAATAATTGTATGTGGAATATGTATACTGATATGATCATGGAGTCAAATGACTAAAATATTATTTAATCTTGTACAAGGTATTAGTCTATAACCGATAATTTTTAAGGATTTAATGCAGTTTTCTACAAATTATAAATGATATGTTTATTTATTTTATTTTTTTATAAAGGTCAAAACTATAAATATAAGGAAGTTAACTAAGCACCTTTAGTGGCAGCATATATGGATCCATTATCCATTGAGACCACACCAGCAGTAGAGGACAAAAAAACGATGTTAGCAGCTCCTGCAGTTTTGAGAAAAGGATGTGAAAGTTGGCACAAGTGGTAAGCAGATTCAAGATTGGTACTCATTATGAATGAGTAATCTTCAGCTGTGTACTCTAGCGTTGCTTTCGGTTTGACAATCCCCACATTGTTTATCTATAACAAGACATTATTGGAAGGGTGTAGCATAACATAACGATTTTAGCTTATATGTATTGCTGAAAAATGCATTAAACTTATGTGTATTAAACATAAAAAGTATGTACATACGTGTGTTGAACGTTTGAGTTTTAAAAAAGTACAATTTTGCAAATCATGGAAACGTGTAGGACAAACAGAAATATTTAAAAAATATATATTTACGAGTATATTAAGTTTGCCATCGAAGAGTGATGATCATTCATGATTCATGCATATATGTTAATTCAACTAATCAGTCTTCTACTTACAAGGATGTTAAGTTCGCCATCAAAGAGTGATGAGACCTTGTTTATAAGCTCCTCTCTTTGGGTTTTTGACACCACATTACACACCGAGCCAGTGACTTTGAAAACCCTTCTTCTCCCATTGACTCAGGCAGTCATTAAGTTCAATTTCATTTCGCGAACAAGTATGCACAATGGCACCTAGCCCTGCCAATTCTTCCACTATTGCATACCTATATAATTACATTATCAACTTCAACATGGAGTAGTAAAATTAAGATAAAAAATTGGAACTCTTGTTCTTAAATTTTGATCATTGAGCTTTAGTCATTGAATTAAACATTTATGGATATTGGTCTTTGAACTTGTAAGCGGAGCAATAGTATTTTTGGATAACTTTCTTATCACTTATGTCCATTATTTTCCCCCTATTTGTTTCTTATTTTGAAAGGAAGTTCTAACAATTTTAACCAAAAGAAATATTGTTTTATGTTGGGACAAGTTTATGAACCAAAGTCTCCAATTGAATCAATTCAAGATCAAAGCTCCAATTAGAAAAAATAAAGTGAACATTCCATTGCATGTAAAAGAAAAAAAAAAAAAAAAAAAAAAAGATTAATGGTTTTAACTATCCAAATTTAGAGAAGCTAACCCAATTCCTTTGGTTCCACCAGTGACAAGAGCAGTCATTCC